CTTTACAATTACGGCTTGTAAAAGTATAGCAATATTGAATTGATGAATCGAGCAGATGTTAATTTGATATTAAAGGCTATTTTCAATAAGAACTTAGATCTAGTAAATTGCGAGAGCCTGTTAGATCTATGTTGATTAATAAATTGCGAGAGCCTGTTAATCATGTTATTCATGCAATGTTAATGATTGATTATTATGTTTTACCCTGGAGTATTATTTATTGGTGAACATATGCCCTAGATCCTTTTATATATTGTTTTCTCCTTATTCTCAATCTTAGTAGTTTAGTTTCTTATTCAAATATAAATATTGGTTACTTCATAATCTAGATTATTTTAGTTAATTAGGAATAGAAAGACTTGTTTCCCTGTGGAGATCGACCCTACTTCCCTATCTACAATAGTTATAGGATTTAGGTATTACTTTTGATTAGGGGATACGACTTTACCCTGTCAAAATTTGGCGCCGTTGCCGGGGATTAGTTAATCATAATTTGATGTTTGATCGCCTTGAAATCTTAACATGAGTTAGAGGATTTAGGTATTACTTTTGATTAGGGGATACAACTTTACCCTGTCAGTGCGGGTGAGAATTTCAGCGACGTGGGTGGTTTTCGGGGAAGGAGAAGGCAAAATACGGCAGCGTGGGTGGTTTCGTCAATTTTGGTGGAGGCAAATGGGTGCCGGCGACCTGGGTTACGGTGTTGGCGGCTAAGGTAAGGTGGCGCTGGTGGTGGAGCTAGCTAGGTTAGGGATTTTTTTTTTTTTTAATTTTTTTTTCTTTTAATTAATTCAATTTTTTAAACCTATAGATTATTGACACGTGTCTAATTATGGCCCCACTAACGGATTTCATCCAAGAATTCGTTAAGTGGTGGTGAAATCAAATTTGTGAGTTTTTTTTTGTGGTGTTATAAGCAAAATTTTAAATTTTGTGGTGTTATAATCAAAATTTGTGTTTTTTTGTGGTGTTATTTTCTAAAATTTCCTTGATTTAATTTTAATTTTTGACTGATTTGATTTAATTTTTATAAAAGTTATTTTAATTAAATTTAAAACAAAAAAATAATAATTAGTTTTAAGGCCGGAAGCCGCGGCTTGGTGGCGCAGCCACGCGCGGCTGCCGACCTTGTGGCAGTCCAAGAGGGATGGGAAGGGGAGGGCGACGGTCCAAGGTGGCTGGGGCAGCAGCTGTGCAACAGTTGCACGCTGCTGCCGTGGATGCAACTGCTACAGGGTGCTGCTGCCTTGCGGCTAGCCAACCAAGTTGGCCAACACCATGCAGTCACAGTTTTTCAAAAAAAAAAAAAAAAAAAAATATTGTTTTTTGAAAAATTATTTCAAGGTAATTACAAAATTATTTTGGGATAAAATCGGTTTTGTTTTGGATAAATTTTTTTGTTTTAGGATAAAATCAAATATTTAAAAGTTGTTATATTTGATATTATCCATATTTAAAGTTGTTAAATTGGTAATCATCCAAAATTAAAGTGGTTAATTTTGGATAAGATTGATTAGGATATTTTGAGCATATTCCAAAAGGATAATTGATTTAAATAATGTGATTATCCCATAATTAGATTAGGATATAATTGATTTTAAAATTATTTTATTGGCTAATAAATAGGATAGGATCTCCTAAATTTGTTAGGATAATCATGGAAGATTAGATATGATTTATTTTTCTAGATTAAAATAAGATTTGATTCTATCTCATGCCTAAATTAAAATATATGATATTTTATAATTGGTCATGAATAATGTATAATATTATCTAATTATGTTAAAGTATATGATATGTTAAAATATATGATATTTTAGGAAATACGTTGCCTTAACTATGAACATTCGATGTTATAGTTTAGACAAGCATGTTGAGTGATTTATTATATGACATTTTATATAATATATGATATTATGTTGCTGTATATAGACTAGTGTGGCTATAGATTCTAAAATACGATCTGCGCATCGTGATATATTTTTGTAATCTAAATACGGCCTGCGAAACGTTAAGAATTTTTGTAAATTTTATTTAAAGTAAATAGGTTAGTTATTTAAATAGTGTTAGTCCAAAGAAGCCCGTGAAGTGAAGGCCCAAAGGAGCGAGGTGGATGGAGATCCATGATGATTCAAGTGGGAGCTTTTCATTTCTAGTTTTCTTAGGACTAAGGAGCCATACTATGTCATGTTTTATTGCATTAGTAGATTATGCATGTTAGATTTTATTTATGTTGAGATGATGTGCTAGAGTTCACTAAATAATCACAACATAAATGAATCTAGGTCCCAGTAATATTGAGATTGCTTTTCCAATTAGATACCCAACCATCTTTGAATAGTGAGTGATAGGTCGGCCTCCGCAGAGTGTCACTTGTTATTTTAGGTATTGTGGGGTGGATAACGTTCTACATATTTAATTGATTATGCTCAACAAGGTTACCTAAAGCGTTTAGAACCTTGAAGCAAAAAGTAATAATTAAACATGTGATGGTTAATTATTCAACTAAGAGTTACAAGAGTTGTAATCAGTAAAGAGTTTACTCACCTTGAAAGTGTAATACTTGATGGTAGGGCCTCATTCCGGTCAACTATTACACAAATAAAGGATCTTAGAATCACTTAAAATTCAATTGGGATCAATTAATATTGAATAAAGTGCTTTAAAGTTACCTAATTAATTCGTATATGATACTTTAATGTTAAATTAAACATAATTATTAAACTTTGCCTTATTTTGACTTAGATGGGTAACCATAATCACAATGACAACAACATTTACAATCTTCGACCATTCCTTGAGAAGGATAGGTTGACAGGAGAAAACTTTTCCACTTGGGAAAGAATGCTAAAGCTCGTTATGAAATCTGAAGGTAGAGAGGATGTCATTATCATTCCATTGCTACGGCGAAGTTAAGAAGCACAAGGAAGCTCATGATAGAGTTGTGTCTATCACTTGCTTGATGATTGTTACCATGGAACCTAGTCTTCAAAAGCGTTTTGAGGACCAGGATGCGTACACAATTATGCAAGAACGCAAAGCTTTGTTTAAGAAACAAGCTAAGCTAGAGTTGAAAGGTACAAGCTCCATCGTGAGAATCTAGATTGTAGGATGGAGAAGGGTGCCACAGTTCATGATCATGTTTTAAAAATGATCGGCCTTATTCAAATTATGGAGAAACTGGGGCACCCATACAGTGATGAGATGACAACTGAAATCATTCTCCACTCACTTCCAGAAAGTTTTAACCAGTTTATCATGAATTTTAACATGACTGTGACTGCAAAGACTATGAATCAATTGCACACAATGCTGGTTAGTGCTGAAAAGCAAATCCCTAAGGAACCTAAGAAAGAGGTTATCATGGTTCAAAAGGGAAAGGGGTTCAAGAAGAAGGGGCAAAAGGCTAGTGCCAAGAGCAAGGGCAAGCAAGTTGCCAAGGCTCCTGATAAGCCTAAGGCAAATCCAAAACCCAAGGCTGCAAGTGAAAGTGAATGCTTTTACTGCAAGAAGGGGCATTGGAAACGCAATTGCCAGAAATACCTTGACTTCCTCAAGAAGAATGGAGCATCAACCTCAGGTATTATGTCACAAACATTTTAATTTTCACTTAGGTACTTTTGTGTTACCAAGGTTAAAAAAACGCGCATTGATGACGTACAATTGAATTATCACAATCCAAACTCTCAGAAGTTGAGTTTGAAAAAATTAGGAGGAGGAGCTTCCCACACCACCAAGTTACAATTGGATGGAGGTAGACATGTCAATTCGGGTTAACTTGTCGGGTTCGGGTCAACAGGTCGGGATGGGTCATTTGGTTCGAATGGTTGGATCATTACAAATTAAATTATGATAAATGGGTCAAATCGGGTCTATTTCGAGTCATTTGGGTCGGGTTGGGGTCAGGCTCTCTCTCATTAAAACGGGTTTGAAATCAAGTAGGATTGGGTTGCCACGTCGGGTCAGAAATTGACAGGTCTAGATGGAGGGGTATTGCAGTAGTTAGATGTCCTCGGAGGAGTAAAAGGTTTGTGAGAATTGCTCTTTGTGGTAAATTCTATATATATTTGAGACTCATTATATGATTATATTTATGTTGGTGTTTCGTTCTTTCCATGTACTCTAAATGAGAAAACAGTCCCTCCGTATTTTAATAAGTGTTACACTTTGACATAATTGTTTTGACTTAATTAATTTATTAATATTAAAAAACAAATATTATTGTACATGGTTTGATTCGCTATAATGTATACTTTGGTAAATATTAATTTTCCTATAGTTTTACAAACATATAATTAGATAAATAAATTAATGGTCAAAGTAGGTGTCTTGACATGTGTGTTCGATCAAACTATAACACTTATTAAGGCCTAATTTGGCAATTGGATGCTGCCTATTGGATGTGGACTGGTTTGATTGGCTGTTTGTATTGGCTTTTTTGTTGGCTATTTAACTTTTATTAGTCTAAAAACATATTTAGTAAAATTGGTTGCTGGATGTTATTAGTAACTTAGTTAGCAAAAAGCCAAAGGCCTTGTTTGGCAATTGGTTGCTGGCTATTTGTATTGGCTTTTTCGATGGCTGTTTGACTTTTTATTAGTCTAAAATATGTTTGTAAAATTAGTTGTTGGATGTTATTTGTAACTTAAGTAGCCAAAAGCTACTCCAAGTAGCTTTTACATTTTGGCTTAAAAGCCAACTTTTTAGCTGGCTAAAAAAATCATTTACCTAACACAAATTTTGGATATTTGACCAAATGAAAAAGCCAAAAGCCCAAAGCCAATAAAAAAGTCAATGAAAAGTCATTTACCAAACAATCAAAAAGTTTAGAGCCATTTTCCACTTTTTTCAATGTATTAGTTGTTGTTTTTGCAAGTTTACTTTATTTAGTCCCTTTTATGACCATTGGAAAAAAAAAAAAAAAAAGTATCATGGTTCCAAAACACCAAACTAAGCTTAGTGGTAAGATATGTACCTTCTAACCTTAAAGTTGTGGCTTCAAACCCTGCTGGGGAATTTAGTCCCTACTTCCAAAATATGAGATTTCCAAATTTGAAGGTTTATTGACAGATTCTGTTTACTATCCCCTAAAATTCAGAAAAGCAATTTTCTGCACATTAACACCAAATACAAGTAGTTGATCTCCCATATGCATATCAGCCCAACCATGGGATGGAAATCAGATATCAGAATAATATACAACACAGCATAACAAGCTGGTGCAAAGTACATGAAAAATACAAAATAATGGAATACTAGGAAGATTACAAGGTCAAGATTCTTGATCCATTTCAATGCCCAGGAAATCTTCCATCCATTCTCTGAATCACTCTTGTGCTGGTTCTATAACAGGGGGTATACAATCTACCTTGTAAAACAGAGCCTATTCCAATGATAAAAGAAAAAAAATGACGATGTAATCAATATTGAGATAGAAAACAACCAAGCCCAAATGCCAGAACAAGACCAACGTGTGCTATCTAACGCTTAGCAGGTAAAGCTCAAGTTGCGAATGAAATGCAATACTACGCTTCCTTAAACCAACTAGAATCTTGGATAGCATTAAGGAAATCACATACATAAGCCCCACCAAAAACAAGGCATAGGGGGTCCAAAACGTAAAAATTCTATTACATGTGCTAAAAACCTCATCTCAAGGCTATTCTAAGAACCTACATCTTCTCCGATATTAATTTCAACTTTTCAGATCATAAACCAAGGCTTTCCACCCTCTTTGAATGCAATGACTAGTTTAGCCCACCGCAAGTCTACTATATCATTTTACCTTTCCATAAATGTAAAAGGTATATGCAATGAAAGATAAATGCATAGATCACCAAACACATCTATCTAGTTCACAGAAACCAATTTCAATTTAAGCATTCCTACCTTTTTAAAAAAGGTTGAATATGAATTGTCCCATACTAGTTTGTAAGTTCCGGCCATACACGTGCAAAAATTTCCCTGAAATTTGTCAATTCATATAATTACATATCCCCATCAAGAACATCAGCAGAACAAAAAGCAACAGAAGTACAGAACTACTCACCTGATCAGATTCACAACGGCGATAAGGCAAGATAAGCTGTAGCATGTAAGTCAGATAATGCTTCAGTCACAGATTCATGAATGTTGTCATGTCGAAGCTCTATATAACTATTAAACTATATCTAGATGCACCATAGATATGAGAGTTTCCAGAAGACCAGAGAGAGAGAGAGACAGAGAGAGAGAGGGGGGGGGGGGGGGGAGAGAGAGATTTCTAAACTTATCACTCACACTTTTTTCACCAGAAGAGTTTGTATATTCCACGCTGAACCCAATATCCTGCATACAGCAAGATGAAGCTAAAAATATTACTCATAAGGATAAGTATAGCTTCGAGACATAATAATATATATACACAACATAAGTGTAAGAACAGAAGCCTCATACAGCTATAAGAAGCCAAATAAAATCATGCCACTATATCACCCCAGTGTAAGAAACCATCCTCATCACATATACTGTGTGTGTGTTTTGTTGGTACCATAGGCCTTAGAGCCATATAAGTTACGTACTTGCATTTGGACCTTGGATATGACAAAGTATTAAGTTTTCTAGTAATTAAAAAAAATATTGTGCTCCAAATGCAGTTTTAAAAAATAGGGTTTTTCTATACAGTGCCCCTGAAGTATTGACTTTTCCAAGCTGTGCCCACCCATTTTCAAAATTCTACGCTGTACCCCTGAAGAGCCTTTAGTGTTTACGCTGTAACCCTACCCTAATCCCTCCGTTAACATAAGTTAACTTCAAAATAAATTAATTAAAAAAAAACAAAAATTCCCAAAAACACCCAAACACCTCTCTCTCCTCCATCACAAGTACCCACCACCGCACCTCCAGCCGCACTGCCACACTTTCGATCCACCTGCACCGCCGCACCACAGTGGCTCGCCCCTCTCTCCTCGAACCACCACCGCATCATCCTCCTCCCTCCTTCTCTCTCACTTATCCTTTTACTGCCAGATTTTCGACCATTTTTCGAAATTTTTGGGCGTAATTCGAACAATCTCGACCAATTAAACCATATTCGTGCAGATTTTCATTGGAAAAATTAATTAAAACAAATTTATGTATTTAATCTCAATCTAATTGAACCAAAATTGATGATTTAACAATTAAAATTAAATAGGGGGAAAAATTAGGGTCTGGTGTCGTTTAATTGTTGCGGTGGTGCGCATGTGGTTGCGCTAATGTAGGGGTTGCTGGTGTTTTGTGATTTTAGGGGCTGAGGTGAGAGGAGAAGCTGGTCGGTGGCGTTTGCTGGTTCGTGCGGTTGGTCTGTTTTGGTGGTGTGGAGTGCAGGGAGCAGTTGGGAGTAGGAATGTGGGTTTTCCGGTGCAGGAGGGGATTGGGGTGGCTGGTATTCTAGCGGGCAGTAGGCGGTCGAGGAGATAGGGGCAAGCCACTGTGGTGCAGCTGGAGGTGTAGTGGTGGTTGGTGGGTAGTTGTGACTTGTGAGGGAGGAGAGAGAGGTGGTTGGTTTTTTTTTTTGTTTTTTTTTTTTAATTATTTATTTTAAAGTTAACGGAAAGTTAACTTAAGTTAACGGAGGGATAAGGGTAGGGTTACATCGTAGACACTAAAAGTACCTTAGGGGTACATCGTAGAATTTTGAAAATGGGTGGGCACAGCTTGGAAAAGTCAATATCTCATGGGCACTGTATAGAAAAACCCTAAAAAATAAATATACTACTCTAAATCTTCTTTCTCAGAGTAGTGAGTCTAGTGACAAACAAAGACCATCACGAGGATTCAACCTTTTGATCGGACCATAGTGTTAACTACTTTTTTTACCACCCACCCGGCGAGCAAAAACGATATGTCGGCTTATTTGAAGAATCGAGCATCCACAGGCAAGCATAAAGCATTGGTGTACACAGGTGAACCCAACTTGAAGAGATTAAGATTAGTCAAGAGACATGAACTACAACCGAAATTCACCAAGCTTTTTACACTTTGCAGACAAGTTGACAATGCAGGTGATTAATCCACGGCACTTCTGTATGCAATAGGCCGAGACCATGGTGCATCGAAAAATTGCTGAAGCAAAAATTAAGCTGCCAAGACTTCGATATTACAGTAATAAAAGGGATGCTACAGAAGTTAAAAGCTTCATCTTTAGCATTAGCTTCTTCAAAGAAGATATTTTTAGTTCATCGGCATACAAACACCCTTCTAAAGTGAATAGTTTTAGAGGTATTTGATGAATCATATTTATAAAGGATTCTTAGACACGTTTAGTTACTTTTATAGTTACTTTTTGGCTCTTTTAGCCACTTTTTGTGGTCACGTTTGCATATATTGTCACATTGTGCTCTATTACACTTTGTCAGTGTTATTATAGAATCTTAATACTACAGTTGACTTCACAATCATTTGGATGCTTTCAAAGTATTCAAAGTTAACTTGGATGATATTTGAAAGGAAAGTCAATGGATCAAGTTAGTGAATCAAAGTGTTCATGTCGATTTGGATGATTCAAGTTGATTGGAAACTACACTTGAAGAGCTTTTCAACAATAGGTCACATGCCCTTATCACAGGGATAAAGCGAGAGTTATAAAGGAAACAAGGACTAGTTGCCTTTCGTTGCTAGTGACAGCCGCTAGAGTGAAAACATTAACGGCCAACCATTGGGCGTTAGCCAAGTATTGTGATAGGGAATAAACTAAATTTGGAATTAATCTTGGCAGATGAGGCAAGGTTGAGATTAATGGTGGCAATTTTTCCTTTATATTATGAATCTCAATTGATCTTTTAATTTTCAATTGATAGTTTGATTAATTTTTATAAGAGTTTAAATAAAAAAATCGTACATTTAGAGGCTTATTTACAATTAATGAAGTCAATTATGGTTGCGACCATACTTTATATGTTAATTTGAAAGAGTTAATACCATATCATAGGATTAACTAGTGCTCTAGACATTGAATAATTAAATTGTAATGGACTGATATAACTCGATATAATAACAGTACAACTAAGGAGAAAACTCAGAAATTTAAGTAAACAAATTAATGGTTTCTTACAAACAATAGTAGTAGGTTTAGCCTACAAAGCTCCAATAGTGACTTGAGGTCACAACTCTCCTGGGGAATCACTCCAAAATTCTGCCTACTTTCTTCTACTCCTCTCTACCTATTTATACTAAGGGCAATTAACCTAGCAAACTAAAATTACTAAAATACCCATATTACATTTGATGACTACTAATATACTAAAATGCAACGGACTAGCGTGAAGTGATTAAATTAAATGGACGGAAGGTTGATTTGGATAGATAAAGCTTGAAGCTTTTGTACAATCGACAATGGCTTTAGGCCATCACTCTACAAGGACTCTCTAAAAATAATACTTTCTGTCTAATTTCTCTAGCTGCTGCCCTCCTCTATTTAAACTATTACAAGTACTACACAAATTGCCAAAGGCCTTAATTGCTATTTTACTACAGCTTGTCCCGTAGCTAAATTACCCATAGTAAAATTCTAACTAACACAGCCTGCTAAACAGTGGACCGTTGCTGCTATTCTATTGCCTCTGTTGTTTCTGAATCTGAATCTGTCCCCTGCCGTACACTAAGGTAGCTGGTGGTGGGTGCATTGCAATACCGCCCCCCAAAAGAGCCACCTTGTCCACAAGGTGGGAGTCAAGAATTCATCGACATCGCAGCCAGCAACTCCCCTGCTGCCGTCCCCTCTAGTGCCATCAGCTCGCTTGCGTCGTCCGTTTCATCTTCCTCCACGATTAGAACGCTTAGACTCTTGGCTGTGCAGACGTGAGTGGGACCCGTCCATCGGCCGTCGCACTTGAAACAGAGGCCTCTCGCCCTTTTGTCTTGAAGTTCCTTCTAAGTTAGGCGCCGCACCTCCCCACTAAATCTGGTTGAGCTTGGGTTGGTTCGATTTTGGTAGGAGTGGGTCGGGTGGTTTATCGAAGCTACAGAGGTTTGTGGAGTTTGGGTGGGGTTCGTGGTGGTGTAGGACCGGTTGTGCTGGTAGTGAAAGGTGTTTGAGTTGAAGGGATGTGCGAGGTTTAAGCATTTTGTGGGTTGGGGTTTGTGGAGTTAAAAGGCTGGTTGTGTGTTGTGTAAGATTGGGCCGGCCCAAGATCCTATAGGAATAAGAGGGATAGAAGCTGGGCTTCTATTAAAATCAGAATAGGGTCCAGACTTGGGAAAGGCTCCACTAGGGTTCTTCATGTGGCTGACCCGATTTCTCTCTTCTACCCGAATCGCAAGATCCATGGCCTCCTCAAGGGTCCACGGGTTTAACATCCGTAACTCCGCCTGTATCTCCTCCTTAAGTCCGTTCACGAAGTGGCTCTTCATGATACTCTCCGGGATGTCAAGTAGAGGTGAAGCCCTCTCTATGAACAAGCGCCGGTACTCCATCACGGTGGTGGTTTTCTCCACGGCAAGCCACTGCTCATGGAGGCTCCCTTCATTCACCGGCCGAAATTGAGTTAAGACCCGAGTTTTGAGATCCTCCCACCCGATTAGTGGTCGGCGCCGGCCTTCCCATTGGTACCAACGCAGCGCGTCGCCGTCCATGGCCACCACCGCCGCTTGGAGCCTCTCCACCTCCGTTAGCCTATAAAACTCGAAGTATTGCTCTCCCCGAAGAATCTAACCGTCGGGTTCGGCGCCGTCAAAGGTCAGCATGTCAGCTTGCGGTATTTCCTGCCACCACGACCGTCGGAGTGATCAAGGGGGTGATTCCGAAATCCCTCTCTCTCTCTCCGGGGTCCCAAGTTCCAAAACGGAGCCTGTTGAAACCCCCACCACCAGCTCTTAGCGGCAGCTCGTTGCAACCACCTGCACCCTGCGACGGGTCACTAAAACCCCCTGCTCCAGTAACTGCTCAGCCTCCTCTGTCGTTCTGGGTGTTTTTCCGTGATTTTTCAAGGCTGCAACCATTCCCCTGATTTCCTCAAAAAACTGGTCTTGCTGGTTCTTCATTAAAGCATTTTGTTGGTTCTGGTCATCTCTGAACTGATTCACGCGACCTTCAATTTTCTGGGTTGCTTCGTCAATGGCAGTCGTGTTCTTGCGGTTGGACTCTTCAATGGCTTCTCTATTTTTGCGGGCTGCCTATTCTTAATTCTTGTTGAATCTCTCCGTCAAAGTGTTTTGAATGGCTTCCATTCCTTCGCGAATCGTCGTCATCAAGATGTGCTGAATGGAGTTCTCTCCATCCCCTACCTTGTCGCTGATTTCCTCTAAACGCTCCTCGAGAGCTGCAACTCGTTCCACGGTCACTGTCGGCGCCATTGGAGGCATGTCGGCTCTGATACCAACTGCAACGGACTAGCGTGAAGTGATTAAATTAAATGGACGGAAGGTTGATTTGGATAGATAAAGCTTGAAGCTTTCGTACAATCGACAATGGCTTTAGGCCATCACTCTCCAAGGACTCTCTAAAAATAATACTTTCTGCCTAATTTCTCTAGCTACTGCCCTCCTCTATTTAAACTATTACAAGTACTACACAAATGGCCAAAGGCCTTAATTGCTATTATACTACAGCTTGTCCCGTAGCTAAATTACCCATAGTAAAACTCTAACTAACACAGCCTGCTAAACAGTGGACCGTTTCTGCTATTCTATTGCCTCTGTTGTTTCTGAATCTGTCCCCTGCCGTACACTAAGGTAGCTGGTGGTGGGTGCATTGCATAAAACTACCCATAATACCCTCCCCTAAGTTAGTTCATTACATAAATTGTAAAAGTATATTGATTGATTATGAAGTATAAACATGGTGAACCACAACCCTAGGGTTCTTTATTATATTTTATCTATTTTTGTTAGTATAGACTATCCATACTAATTATGTGACATAATTCTAAAGCAAGACTAAATAACCATCTCTCTATGTGTTCTACCATACTTACCCTACTACATTGGTAGGAGGTTTTACTAGGAATTTATTTTTGCCGGGCATATGATAACCTATCAATATCATTGTGTAAAAAAGAATTGAATGAGTAAACTCAACCATCTTACCCAAAAACTACTTTCCACCCCTTCTTTCACCAGAAAGAAAGAATATAGTACACTGAATTATTAGGTTCTTATAGCTTTCCAAAGTTTACAGAAAATTCTTACACAGTCTAGGTTGTATGGCGCTAGTTATGGAGATGGAGAGATAAATGAACATCAATGTTCCCATGGTCCATCAACTGTATCAATATATCCATTGAAGCCATCTCTAAGACAATGCACCAAAGAGGCAATAATTAGGCATAAATGATAAGAGGTCGGCAGCATCATGCTTTCAAACAACACAGACAGCACATATAATTCAACTTTGATGTCAATTGAGTTCACAAGAAATGCCCTCAAAATTTTCTGGAAGAAAATACCAACCAACTTGAACCACTATCTAAGCAAAAAATATCAGCTTAAAACTAACCCCAACTGCTTGATTCAGCTTAAAACTATCCCCATTTGCTTGATAGAGCAGCTAACTAATTTCGTCAAATTCACGGCTAAAAATTAGATCCACATGGTGGTGCTCAATCACAGTAATCTTTCCAAGTTCTCTAGTGAAACACTATACATTTGGACCTGTTTTGAGTTTAAAAAAACAGGCAACAGCCATTTGGCAATTACACTGGCTTATTTCATACACTAAAATAGAAAAGCACATCTTCTATAATTGCAGTTGCATTCAATGACAAAAAAAAAAAAAAAAAAAAAAAAAAAAAAAAAAAAAGCAAGAGAGTACCAATTTCATTTTACTTTGCTCCAAAGAGAAGTCCCAAGCAATATATGAGTTGATTGAATCCACTGACAACACCACCTAGAAAATTTTTATTTTAAAAAAAAATAATTAATAGTGAGATCAAGCAATACCAATAAATGAAAATATAAATAAAAAGATTTTTAAAATAAAATTTAGGTCAGAGAATTAAAATTACAAGCTCCTAGAACAAAGCAACAGGTTGGAACTTGTTTTTCAAGGTTGGCAATAAGATGACATAAGTTTATGTGTGCAATGTGGCAGCTTGTCCAGTTTTAATACGTAGTATTTAAATTCCTGCCCACCCCACCAACCCTAGAAAAATGGCATATTTGCCATATTACTTTATTGGTGTTGCCATTTTCAAATCAAAGAAATCAAACATTTCAAGACAGACTCTAAGAAGAGACTAAAAGACCAGATTCTAAAACAAGTGTTGTCTAAAATCAAGATGCAAAACAAGAGGGGACACCAATTCTACCTAAACCTTTCTGGCTTTGTACTCTACAATCAGTCTTCTCAAATCCAAGTTAAAGATATGCCATATGCCCCTTTCACCAACCCTCTTAGCAAAAAGGTCAATGACATGAATGATATCATTAGCTCAAACCTTAGATGAGCTATTTAATCAATGTTGTGGTCATAATAATTTACAAAATGGGGTCTCCAATAGTATTCCTGGTCTTATGCTAATTAGGCTTTTGCATGGTTATCTTCATTTTGATCTTCTGTCATCAAACTTAGCCCTAAGAAGTCAATCCACTTACCAAATATCAACAAACAAAAGAAATCCATAGACATACAAAATACCACCTTTACATTTAAGTTTGAAAAGGGCTATTGCAACAAACCTCATGGGTTTTCCCAGCAGGAATGCTCATCTCTTTATAATCATCATTTCTGCAGATTCCAATTACAAATTAAAAACTTGTTTATAGATTAACAACAAGAAATTCAATTGACAACCAATAATGAGGGTAGCATATTAGCCTTGCCTGACCCTGACAATAAGAAAACTAAATAAGAGCTCACCTTGAATCTATGGAGCCTACTTCATCAGCTGATATAAAGAAGGGGGAATTTGCAAAGACCTCACTAACAAAATAAGGTATGCCCCCAAAACGATGCGTCAATAAAGTATGAAGATAATGGAATGTGCTTTGGAGAGCAATTGTACTTTCAAAAGAATAGTAAGAAGGTTTACCCCATAAACTTGATAAACCTCTCAAATTCAGTAGTATAAACGTTGACAGCTTGCTCTAAAATAGCTAATTCATTTTCTGTTCTGTTTATCAAGTAAAACAACAAGAAAAGTGTTAGAAGCTCACAGGGATGACAAAGAGTACATCTAGGAAAAGTAACAAAAAAAAATCTGAAAACAGCAAAATTTAGCTGCACTACAATCTAAAGGCTAAACAGTAAACACATCAGAATCCAGGAAAATAAGAGAAAATATCAAAGAATATCTCACATCTTTCTGGCATCAAAACGCGTCCACATCAGTAAAATTAACAGCCGTATAGAGAGCACCATCTTTGTAAGGCTGTACAGTGGTGGTCCATACCGATGTCTCTGCTCTTCCATGGGCCTGTTAATAAAAAGCATTTAAGCTAATTTAAGTAAAACATGAACAGGAACATCGTGTTCTTATTTCTCTTAACCAGACAAGAAGTTAAATGAAAGAGACGAACTGAGCAACATCAAGCAAGCTATTACTTTTAAGTCAAGTTCAGCAGGATTCAGTAGCTGATGTAAATGAGTAAAAAGGGGTAACAGAATTTAGCTATATACCAATGGACTAGGTTGAACCAAGTTTTGGCACAATCTAAAAAGAGCTCTTAGCATTGGAATTTTTGGCCAATCATCACCATAGCCAATGAATTGGGTTTGAACTTTGAAGATAGCATTACCCATCATCAAACCATTGGCACACATTCTCTTCATCACTCTGACACGTCGTGTAGCTATTTACATTTTCACCCTACTGTAAATAAGTCTCTTAAAGGCTCTCTTTCATTGCAATGACTTAATTGTTTTAGCATTGAAGAATTAGCATACTTTTGATTAATATAACTAGTGTTGTTGGTATGTTGGAAATAATTATTTCTTGGAAGTTCCATTTTAATTTATCACCAATAGTCACCTAATTCACAAGGGAATGAAAGGTGATCTGGTGGAGCAAATGACTTGTAGGTGGACATGCAATCTCAATTCACGTGAGGATTAAATTTCCATAAAATTTCATCTCATTGGAAGTTTTTTTTCGCTGTACACTACCTAGGAGATGCCCTCGATATGTTTGGATGACGCTAAGGAAGCACTACCCATTGATTGATTTCTTTTCTTATGTTTGGCTGACTTCATCTATTTCCCATGGAATCTAACAGCTTCAACTACATGTTTATGTACTTCCCATAAATTGCCTGTATTTCCATTATAAATTAGGTAAAATTGGCCGCAACACTGAATTATGGCTTAAGTGCACTGAGCACCCTGAACTTTGCGTAGTAGCCAAAACACCACCAACTATGGTATTAGGTACAACGCATGCCATAAATGAACATTTCGGCAACTTATTTCACCGGGATGAGGTGAATCTTCACGCTCTATAACATTTATGTAGTATTCCATCCAATTAACACGCATGGATTTACATTCTCTAATGAAATAAGTGGCAGAACATTTTCATTTAAGGCACGCGTCACACCTACCACATAGTTGGTGGTATTTTGGCAACTACACATAGTTCATGGTGCTCAGTGCACCTAAGCCATACGTCAGGGTGTTGTAGCCAATTTTGCCTTTAAATTATTGTTTATCTAATACTTCCTCCGTTGTTTTTTATTTTTATTTTTATTTTTAAGTTTACATGTTTCTTAAGTCACATTTGCTAATGCACAAATTCAACTATTAATATTTTTATTTACCGATAAGCAAAAATTATAAACAGTTGATATTTTGAAAATCTATATCGTAACGAATTTAATAAGATCTAACATGACTATATTTTTCACTATGTATAAATCACAAAACATGGTATAAGGGAAGTGTGTGACAACTTGAAAAAGGAGGTAGTAGTTGTTATGGATGACTAAGGTTCATCACGCAATATATTGCATTATTTTATGATAATCTTAATGGCTACCTATTTATACATACTATTGATTGAAAAAGCTTCATGACTAGTTAATGTTCATATAGATTACATCACTTTTTAAAACCTAATAACCTTATTCTTTTTGCAGCTTAGAAACTAAAAGAGAGATATATCTCCATCTCTATTTATAAATCACAGTTATTTTACGCCTTCTTCTCCCAAGACAGAAAAAGGTTCAATGTAGAACCTAAATTTACGTCTTGGAAATTAGAAGAGGAGGCTGCAGAGAAAAGCTTGAGATTTAGTTGCTTGATTTCAATGGACGAATCAAATATATGAATCTGCATTTAATATATATAAGTTTTAGAATTTGCAAACTATCCATTTATAAACACTATAGAGAGGAAAAATTAGAGAGAAAGAGAAGGGGGGCGGGGCGGGGGGGGGGGGGGGGGGGGGAGGAGATGCAGCTGTATTATTAAAAAGAAGATGATAAAGATCATTACAGAATTGCCATTATTTACACGTGAATGGTAGCCATTAGATTTCAGTATATCCAATGGAATAATGGGTTTCTAATAGGTCTCTTATTAATAAGGTCAGGTTATAGCTATAGCCACCACATTTTAAAGCTCCCAAAATCAGATAATTTCAAAGCCCTAACACATTAAATCAGATAAAAGTCATCACTGGTCCCGCTTGTGTCTAACTAGACCTGCTTGGCCATCGTACAAAGCATTGATCAAAGATCTGGCGTGTACAACTACGTGCTCACAAGTACTTTTGACCCTAAATAGACAAGAGCGTGAAACACTTGGACCGTGACAGTTGGTATATACTCCCTTTGTCCCATAGTATAGTACTTGTTTCTCATTTTACATGGGAATTAAGGGTAGTAAAGGAAATGTGTAATATTTTATAAATAGGTGTATACTAGGTTAAGTCCCGTGCCATGCACGGTCATAATTAAATTTTACTGCAAATAAATAATAAATAATGGTTTAATTCAACAATAATTTATCCAAAAATAATAATTATTTGTAAACAAATAAGTTGAATTTTAATTAGTTTATACCAATACTAAATACGTAAAGGTTATTAAATTGAATTGTATAAATAAATAAATATAGTAATAGAAAATTAGAAGCTATAAAATTTTATATAAGAAAATTAAAAAATAAACTTAGATTAGTACCCATATACGAACTCATATACATTTGTCCTTAAATTGTTGACATACATTAATCGACATAATATGAAAATTAAGTTGAGTTCATTTTACTTTAGGATAATTAATATTCTATAATCAACTTTTTAAATATGTTTTAGTGAGTAGTAGGCCGAGGTTTTAAAATATTTAGAATAATTAGGTTTAATTTTTCAATATGTGTTATGTATAAAGTATACTATTACAAAATTATTTTTTTCTTATAAACGTTATGTATAATTTTAAGATTAATACAAAGTATGCTACCAAAATGATTTTTCATTTTTAATTAAAATAAATTTTATTATCATATGATAAAAGTTGAAGGAAAAAAAAATTGATATTGATAATATTATAATAATATTGTAAAATAATATATTCCAATACAATCTATGCTAGTATTTTTGTAACTTAAAGTTTCCTAGTATACAGAATATATGTAAAAAAATTTAATTGAGTATAATTGAATTAAATATATTGTCAAAATGGAAATAACTATTATCTTAGGTTATAAAATGGATGTCATTAAAATATGGCAAAAGACTAAAAAGGAAAGAAAAAAAGGCGGAAATTTTTTTAACTAAGAAATGACATGTGTCATTCCTGGTTTCGCCTTTAGTATAGTTTATTGATTGTGTTACTCACCCGACACAAATCCGGGTATGAAATCCGTTCCAGACATGCCACTAGGCCGTTGGGTACGGCAAGGTTGTAGAAGGGAAGCTATAGAGAGAAGATGAAAGCACGGGTCGTAGCATTAAAGGAAGATGATGCAATGTATAAAAAAGCTCAAAGGCGCGCTGAGGCGAGAAGGGTTATGCAGCGCCTTGGCGCACCCGCCTCAGTGCGTACAAGCACTTAAAAAATTTGGCAAAAAATTGCTTCGGGTGCGCTTTTGGTGCACCTAACCAAACGCGCCTCGCCCAGACCAAGTTAAGCGCTTACCCCATTTCGCCTTGCGTCTCATGGGCCTTAGGCGCGCTTTTTCAAACACTGAGATGAAGGATTTTTTTTTATTTTTTTACCTTTATTTAAATAAGCTTTGTGGTTTCCCAAGAGGTACAATGATAATTTTTGGTCCTTTGCATTTATTAAAAAAAAAACTTAAAGGCTCCCCGAGGAAGAAAAACTTTTTTGTATAGAGCTGATAAAAAGGCTTTGTGGTTAAAAATTTTTTGTTTCACTTCGTAATTATTATTTTAGTTTGGTTTCCCAAACAAGCCTCCCCAATATTTTATAGTTAGTTAAAATATACGGTGTTTATCAGTTTATGTAATCAATTTTAATAAATATGTTTAATTTTAAAGGGTTTCAAAATTAGATGCTTATTTCCTTTTTTAGTAAGTGATTTTTTACCAAGTTATCCTTATTCCCCAAATTTATTCCCGAAATTGATGTGGCAATACTTTATTTAATTTTGCTTTTGGCATTTAATGGTTGCACAGATACATTTATTCTCTCTTAATTCCCCATTTGAACAATTGCAAACCATGTGCAGCATATTAAATGAATTTGATTGGTTCTTTTATTTTTCATAAACAAATGTCATTGGCCTTTTTTTTTCCTTAAAGGATTGTTGACATGTGCAAGCATTTAATTTCATTCTATTTAGTTTTATTCAATGATAACAATAAAAGTCTTTTTATTCCCTTTGTACTTCCCAATCATAGGTTTTAATTATACTCCAAGTTCCTTAATTCCCGAAAGTAAGCATCTAATTAAGGGACGAAGAAAGTATCTTTTTTTTCCTTAAAAAAATTTATTATCGTATTCGTACCCGAGTCCAAAGTTAAGACAATGTCCTCGTGTCCTAAATTTTTAAAAATGTCGTATCGACACTTGGATTCGTACCAATATCGGATACCCATACCTGTGTGAATGTAACATAGGGTGTATATTATAAAGGGTAGAAAACTAAATAATGGCATTTAATCAAGCTTTGGATGTAGAGAAATATTATATTGCAAAGGTAAAAAAAAGTAGATTATGGCATGAAATATTGTGAAAATGTAGTAAATCAAAAATTGAGAAAATGATAAAAATCAAAAACAGAAATATTAGTAACACAACACTTTGGGAAACCTAAAATTGAATACAGGCTACCTAAATTACGAAACAATATATATATATATATATTTGTACGCGGCTGGCCACATGGTGCGGCAGGGGTTACTTGTAGGGTTGTTACTGTTTTTGCAGGAATTATTTGTATTTGTATTGTGGGGTTACTTGTACAAGAGTTACTAGTTTTGGTCAGGGGTTACTTATACGGTGTTACTGGTTTTGTCAAAGGTTACTTGTAGGTGTTACTTGAATTTTGGGGTTACTTGTATGGGTGTTACTGGTTTTGGTAAGGGGTTACTTGTAGGGTGTTACTGGTTTGGTATGGAGTTTTGGTCTGGAGTTACTCGGAATACAAGTAACACCTACAAGTAACCCCACGATACAAGTAACCTCATAATGTGCAAAAAAAATCAAATGTGCAAAAATAATCTGACCGAAATTTAATGTGCATATTTTTTTTGTGCATAAATCTTCGTTTTTCCAGAAACATCAAAAAAAATATCAGGTCAAAAAGAAAATGTGCACATTTAGTAGAAAATACTACGTATGTGCACGATCAGTTTAAACTAAATGCACATCAGATCTCAACACTATATGTGTGTGTGTGCGCGCGCGTGTGTGTGTGAGTATACACGCATGCGCACACACACACTTGGTGGACCAATCGCAGCCCCAACTAATTAATTATACTCTCCTTTGTAGGATTTTTTTTTTTTTTTTTTACCATGAAAAGATAAAGATGTGAACGAGAAAGGGAATTCAAACATATCCAAATTCCTAGTCAAACACTGGAATTAGGGTGGAGTCTAAAGAAGTGGGCACTATACATTCTCAGTAAAAAGGGGAATTTAATAGAGGGTATCTTTTTCCAAAACTAGCATTTCAGGACAATTCTAAACGTGAAACATTATTCAGTCTAAATCACATTTGAGTACATCAAAAATAAAAGTACATACCCATCATCATCATTAATCTGCCGAATAAAATCCAGCAAAACCTACATTCAAAGACATCACATAAATGAGATCATTCCCTAAACACTCAATTGTTTTTAATCATGATCAGGAACTATATCAGCAAGAGCAACAAAGACTGCGGACCACCTAATACTTCATGGCTGCATGCATTTCTATAACAGCAACATCATCAATATCAGTTCTACAAACCATATTGATGCAATTATCACCAGCTAAACTCATTCCGTTGATGCTTAAAAAAAAAAAAAAAAATTAAATTGTGGCCAAAATTTTATATCCATTTAAGTAACGATTCAAGCAACACATGTTGTGATTGCTGGGAACTTCTAACCACCTTAGACAGCCCAGGGGAAAAAAACCCCTCTGTGAGTAAATTAAAAGAGAAATGATTTCGAGTTAACATATCAGAACTCCACATGTACAACTTTGGAACCCTGTAAATACACTAATTAGATGTCCCCATTGAACTGGTACAAAGTCAGTGGAAAATTATGGGAGGACTGAGTAGCATGTTTTGTATGTTGCAATAGATATTATACATTCTTTCGTATCACTGCCTCATTTACAAGGATTGTCGTCGTCGATCTTTTACAAATATTCGGGAGAGTAATAGAAGATCTAGTACAAGAAGTGTTAAAGAGAAGAAATGCTTTACTTCTACACCGACATCTAATACAATCTAATTAATACATATGGAAGTAGAATATAGCACACTCAAAGAGAGAAAAGAAATAGCTTTTTTTTCGCACAAATAGTTCTCTCTTTTTTTTTTCTTTTTGAAGTGCCATTATTTCAAACTCCCTCTATTTCAAGATAAATACTCCTAGCGTCGCTAAATAAAAATCCCATTTAACTAACAACCTATGACACTAAATATAAGTCACATTTCACCTTTATATATAGTACCTCCGTTAATTGTTATGTGCAACTTTGGAATATTTTATATCTCAAAAATAATACCCAAAAGTTGCACATAACATTTAACGGAGGTAGTATATATATTGAGATCCAATAAGAAGGATCTTAAAATGAGAAGAATGAGAAGGAATTTTGATCATGTATTTAATCCAATGGTTAAATTTTATCTTTGTAAAATTGTGCACATTTAGTCTAAAATACCTGCACAATCAGTTCGAAAATTATGCACATTTCATTTTCCAGTTTTTATATGATACTTATAACTCTTTTTTCTCCTCCCCAACATCTCTCTTCTTAGATTCATACACATTCTTTTATCTCTTTTTCTCTCTCCCAAAAAATATGCACATTTGACTCAAAAATTATGCATGTTTGACTCAAAACTTAAGCACATTCATAATTCACTTTCCTTTTTTCATTGTTTTTCCTCTTCGTTGTATTGAACTCTCCCTCTCCATTATCAATGCTTATTCATAGTTTTAATTGTACTTATAATTTTAGAGAAGAGAAAGTGATAGTGGTCATGAACAACTTGTAAACCTAATAATAAGGATTAATTGCTAGCTGAACATTCTCCAAATAACGTTAACTTTTACTTGATTCCTCTTAATAATCATTTTAGAACATCTTCTAAACTCAAAGTGAAAAAAAAAAATGGGGAAGAGATATGAACAAGGAAGAGGGAGAAGGAGAGGAATGGGGAAAATAGAAAAAAAAAAAAAAAAAAAATAGGAAAAAGGGATATTTACATCTTTGCCATTAATGAAGGATGTAATGAGAGCCATTAGATCTTTTTATTTGAACGTATGAGATTCCTTCTCATTCTTCTGCAACGAGCCCGTGTACGGCAGGAAGCCACGAGGACAGTTACAGCAGCAGAGCAATTCACCCACTACTCAAACAACAACACAAGCAGCAAGTAGCAGGGCTTCCTTGGATTAATTGCTTAATTTGTTTTATTCCCTTATGTATGGCACTAAAAGACAAGTAGTAGTAGTTGTAGCACTTGTAGCCCTAAAGGCATGTGGCCAGCTATGTAATAGAATCTAGCAGTATAAATAGAGAGAGAATAAGAAGAAGGCAGTAGCCAGAAAATTGTATTGAGTAATTGGAGAGTCATGGCCTGAAGCCATAGTTACATTTCGCAAGCTCGACGCTTTATCTATCAAAATTACAACCTTTCTCCTCTAATATTCTTGTTGAGCCACCGCGTTCATTCCATCTTCTCATTTTAAGGTCCTTCTCATATGACCCTAAATATATACACACACACACACACACACACACACACACACACACATATACACGCACATATATAAAACTTTAATCAACCAAACCCCACTATCTTTAAAATTAAAAACTTTCAATCAACCAAACCCTCCTAGGCTACTATGTTCTTTAATGTTAACTTTTAATCAGTCAAACCCATCTTTTTCTTTTTACATCCCTCTAAACTTGTGCTGATAGCAAAACAGAAGGGTTCTCTCTATCTATCTCTGAATTCAAAAATAATCCTGCTTGCTTTCATCTGTCCCTTTTTGGGGCCAGTGGGTCCCTTATTAGGGCAAGCGGAGAGGGTAAAAAGGAGTTTATGGTGGAAGCATACTGTTTCTTTAGCAAAGAAATTGAAAATCCACAGACATACAAAATTTAACAGTTTTCCAGCAATTAAAATGTTCATTTCCCAACACAAGCCGATTGATAGTAACCATGCAAAATTTATTTGAGCAAGCCAGCATGATGTCAATGACTAGAAAAGGAGGAGGGAAAAAGAAAAAAAAGCAAGAAAAAAAACTATAAACTTTCAAGTATTATATGATAGTAATGGAGTTCTCTCTATCTGTCATGCTCATCAGATACAGGTTTCAAGTTTTAGATGACTTCCAAAGTCCTTTCTCATACCTCTTCAGCTTCTCTACCATATAAAGACAACAAAGTCATTGCGAGGGTCTCCTCTCTCCGACAGACTATAAAGCCGGGATATTTTTTACTCTTCCAATAAATTTTAAAATTAAAAGTTCTTGATTATCCTAGATCCATTCAAACTGATGCAATCTTCCAAAATTAACTTGTAACTTCTTATCTACAGTTTGTTAACTGCATCTTCTCTGCATCCTCTATTCATTTCAGGGTCGGACCCATATCTCATGTTTGTATCAATGTATAAAAAAGCCCAAGGCGCGCTGAAGCGATAAGGGTTATGCGGCGCCTAAGTGCGCCTCTTTGAAGTGAGGCGCACTATATAAACAGTTAAAAAAATGGCAGAAATTTGCTTCAGGTGCGCCTCGGGCGCTTTTGGCGCACCTTATTGAAAACGCCTTGCCTGGGCCAAAAAAGCGCTTACCCCCTATCGCCTTGCGCACTTTTTCAAACACTCGTCTATATCCAGCACGTATCCAACATCAAACTTGAGTAAGTTTTTTTTTTTTAAACTAGTAGAGGATATTAAACGTCCCCCCCCCCACCTCTTTTCTCCCATATGCTCCATTATTTTTTCAATTGTTAGCTCCAAGTCATTGTACACGAGCAAGCCGAGCAAATTGTGAAATTGATGGCTGACAGAGATGCCCTCCGCGAACAATTGCAATTTGTTCAAGGAAAAGCCGACGAAGCACTTGAGAAATGTGCTACCTTAACGCGCGTTGTGGGCAGAGACGCACTGGGTGTTGGTGCGGCGAAGATAAAGCCACCCAAACCTCGCGACTACAATGGCGCTAGAGATGCGAAAGAAGTTGATAACTTCCTCTTCGACATGGAGCAGTACTTCCGAATATGTCAACTAAGTGACGATCAGAAGGTGGATACTGCCATCATGTACTTGTCCGAAGATGCTAAGCTGTGGTGGCGCACCAAGCACGCAGACATCGAAGCAGGAAGGATCAAGATTGATACATGGGCGGAGTTCAAAGAGGAACTCAAAGAACAATTCTACCCCGTCAACACAGCGTTTGTTGCACGGATGAAGTTGCAAGAGTGCCGCCAGAAGGGTTCTCTTCGCAACTATGTTAAGGAATACTCGGCGATAATGTTGGACATCACAGACATGAATGAGAAAGATCGTGTGTTCAACTTTGTCAACGGGTTACAGGAATGGGCGCAGTGAGAGATTTTGAGGCAGAATATTAATACCCTCGCTGCTGCTATGTGTGCTGCTGAGAGATTTTGAGGCAGAATATTAATACTCAGTCGGGAAGGGTCGTCAATCCGAGAAGGATTCAAGTGGGACGTCAACACACTCTAACAGTCCGTCTCCAAGCTCTCCAAAGGGTACAGAGAACGGCTCACGAGTATCGTCCAACACCATTAATACATATCATAGAAGAAGTGGAGGAGGTGATGCCCAAAGACAAACATCTACCCCCTCCCACAACTCAGGAAACTCGAGGGCCGGCGCATCCTCGGAAAACACAAGGACAATAAACTGCATACTTTGTCGAGGTCCACACAAATGGTGGGATTGCGAGCATAAAGAAGAACTTGACAAGATCCAAAAGAGATTGTCATCCATGTCCGATCAGGAGGCCACAAAAGAGACTAGCAGCGATGAGGAGCCCACATATAGGATGGGTTCCATACGACGCCTGAGTGCTATGAGAATGATAGCACCTCAAGAAGAACCAGAAGTCCGATATCTTTCGGCAATGCGAGTGATGGAGCCTGAGAAGAAGGCAACATCGAAGAAACAAGCTCGCACCAGAAACCCAGAGAAGCGGGAGATGAAACCCATGGAGTTGGCAACATCCCAGATACACACCCGCCAAAACCAGAATCAGTCACAAGGTTCGAAGCAAAGAGCGACGAGCCCAGAGACACCAAAGAAGAACCTCCCAAGAGGGAGGAAAAACAGTGGTTGAGCAAACAACGCAGGGCGCATGCAAGGGATTACAAAGAAAATGGTCACCCAAGAGGCACCAGCCACAACTTGAAGCTCTCCACCACAGTCTCAAGGAAGCAGCTCCCCAACAGATGATGGTGGAAGCAGCTGTCCCCCTTAATTCAACAGATTCCACTCCCAGGAGGAAATTTAGAGATGAAGCTCTCAACAAGATGTTTGAGCCGAGCGACTCCAGAGACAAGCTCCTCGTCAACAAAGAAGATCCAGCTCAAGAGTCAGATAAGATTCCAGAAGATAGCCGCACCAACGGCGCATCCGAAACTTGAGATAGTTTAGGGCTTTCTAATTTTGATTGTAACTTTTGTAAGTCGACGAGGTCGTCGACAGCTTAAGTGGGGGAGGATGTTAGAATCCAACTCCTTTTGATGTATTAGATTCCATTTAAGTGCTTTCCTAGAGTTTAGGTTCTGTTTTCTTAGCTTGAGGTCCCATTATTGTGTTACTGTCAGATCAGTGTTCACTAGGGATTCTCCTTGTATGTCATTTAAAGCTCTTTAGAGGGCGAATGATTAATGAAATCTTAAAGCCTTCTACCAAGTGTTGCCTTGCTTTTATGCTTGTTTGTTGTTAGACCTTTATAGATATTGTGTCTTACTTGCATATTAGCTCCCCTCCAACCCAACTTGATGCGCTAAGGACTCGTGGTTCGGACCCGCTTGTGCCCGCTTTGAAGTATCGGCCGTCACAAGCCCCAACCACCCGCACTCCGTCGCCCAGATAGACGTGAGTGCTCCTGAGATTCTATTGCCCGCTTGTGTTGCTTTGTGCTCACAAGCCCCTCTTCCGCTCAAGGCTAGCGTTCTTGCCGCCAAAAGGCTAGAGCGCGCCGCACGTTTCGGGGTCCAAACTCCCGGACCGTGACACTTATACATAGTCGCCATTAATTGAATAAGACACTAACTAAATCATAAAAGTGGTAGCTGTTCTTTGTTCTGCTAACATGAATCTCTAGCATATTATCAACAAACAAAAAGGTAATTGTATATCCTACCTTGCAAAACAAAAGGGCTCTTATTTACCCCATCCCAACCACTAAAAATCAGTGAAGGAACAACACCCAAACAAAACTAAACTAAAATAATACAAACCTGTGGTACTCCTACTAGGTACTTCACAAGTGTTTTATATACACCTGTTGCAGATCCAAGCTGAGCCAATTGCCGCCTCCTGAAAATACAACAATAATATGAAGCAAAAAAAAAAATAAAAAATAAATAAAAAATAAAAAATAAAAAAAAGAATTGGCCGACAAACAAAATTTAGACAAGCCACCTTTCCATCTGTTGCTTCCACAGCAAAGCATATCGATCACGTATACTGACTCCGGACTTGACCAAAGCATCAATTTCAGCTTGCTTAGTCCTCTCTGAGCGTTCCCTTTGTTGTCGAATCAAGGTACCCCTGAAGTCTTGAGGCATATAGCTCATGACTGAAACATAACCACAGAAGAAAAAAAAAAATCAATGATATCCTCCTATTGCAAAAGTGCAAGACAAAGACTACGAAATAAATTGTACGCAGTGCACGGCTATGTAACACTTCCTCCATCTCTATTTACTTGACTAACATTCCTAATCTAGAAATGTCATATTTCTTGTCCTATACTATATTTGGAAAACTTTTGGTAGACAAATCCACTAAATTATCATCATATTGTGCAAGTGGGAACAACTTTTGGGGTAATAAAGTAAACCATGTGCACCCCGCAAACCACCCCTCCTTTTTTTCCCCATCTCAAAAAGCCCTCCTTCCCCACCGAAATCTGTCCCCTTCCCCAGCCCCACCATCAAAATGCCCTCTCTTTCAAATTCTTTCAAAATCCGTCCCCAGCCTCAAAATTCAATTTCTTGTAATGGTACCTCTTAATTCAAAAGTTTCCCCAGCCCCACCATCAAAAACTATCACAAGAAATTTCATTTGCCTAAGGGAACAACAGTAAGAGACTTCCTCTATGTGTGGGAAGTATAACTGTCAACCAAACAGCTCCGCCCTTATCCACTTCCCATAAAAATTATACATTGTACTTCATCCGTTTGTTTTAATTGCATCACTTTTACAATTGCAGACTCCTAGGCAATTTTTAGAAAAAGAGAAAATAAAGAGGGCCTGCGTGATAGAGAGAGAGGTAGATAGAATTTATCAACTAAAAGAGAAAGTGATGGAACTAAATTGGAACTTCTACTTATCGAAAGTGATGTAACAACAAAGAAACGGACAAGCTATTAAAATCACATTTTGTACTATAAATCCATACAATGTAATGATCCAGATATGAGTACATGATTCATATACATTGTACGACCATTGTAGTATTGTAGTATAATATTTGTTAACGAAGGAATCACTAGATTCATGACCCTAAATCCTAGGAACATTTTTAGCTATCCTACAGAATGATTAAATCGTAAGCATTGAACTCCAGAAATGAGAATTTTCCAATATTGCAACAAAAAGATCCCAGGAACCTACTTCAGACTATGATTCTATGATACAATCCATACAGAAATCTTGAGAAATGTTACAAAGTTAAACTTGGTGTCTCAATACGCATTTACTATTAAAAGTGAAGAAGAGCAGAGCTAACCTGTATTAAATACATTATCAGCATTTTTTGATTGAAAATATTCCAATAACTTCAATGTGTTTTCAAATTTAACTTTCATCTCCTCAAAAATGGGAGCAAGTTCCACATCTCCCAATTTGGATTGTTGTTGAAGCTGTATGCACAGGAAAAGTCAGTTCACACCTAGGCCCAGGTATCACTACACAAAAGATGGTTCAATGATACTAACAGCAGAAATTATAAATAGCATCTGTATCGTAGACTAAGTTTCAAATCTTTGCAACTGTACTTTATAGCCTACGTAGTACGTACTCTTTCAACTTCCTTCCAAATTTTTATTTTGCTTTGTAATCTTTTGGTAGAGACTTACCATCTAATATTTTCTTCCATATTTTCTACTTAACAACAGATAAAATTACATGGTATTTACTTTTCCTTTAATCACTCATTTCAGTTTTCATTGTAAAATGACTCAGAATCCGAATGCAAGATAGCAACACAGATGACTATATTTTTCTAACACATTGGGAATATTTCAAAAAAGATTTCATCAAATTGTGAATAGTTGCAAGATTATAAACAAAGGGAGCATGATTGATTTATCATGTACATAAAAAATTACTCCGTACTTACTAAAAATATAATCTCTAAGCCTTTAGGGGATCGCGTTTTATTAAAGCCCCAAGTAAATAGACGCAAAGCCCCAATCTAAAACTCAGAGTTGGGATCAAAAGCCAGGAAATGAATAAGGGAGTTAGTAGTGAATACCGTGTTTGGCCAATGAGGCCTATCGAGCAAAAAGATGATCTCTTCTAAGTGTTCTCGATTCTTCCACATATTCTCATCAATTTTATGAGGCGGCTGGGCATCAACTTCATCCACCAAAACACTTTCATCTGCAAAAGTATAAAATAAAATGTAATTGCAGACAAACTCTAATTCCGAAAGTTTCAAGAGAAAAAAAAAAAAAAAAAAAAAAAAAAAAAAAAAGGAAAATAGAAAACCTTGAGTAAGCGGGGTATGTGTCTGCAAATCGGTGATCAAAGAGCGAATATCCGAAGTGAGGGTAGCAACATCGTCGGAGAGAGGGACGAAAGGGTACTTGTCGTAATAAGAAGATAAATAAGCCCTGGTAATTGGAACCAAACCCTCGGTTGAAGCCATGAAAACCCAATTTCAGATCTCACCAAGGAAGAAGATCCCACTCACAACCACCAAACGACCGACTTATTATGAACAATGGAGTTTTTGCTTTTTAAAATCCAACACTGTCTCAGTATATTCTCGCCTCCCAAAGCATCCAACAGAATTTACCCCAACCAATTTCTCTCTTTAGCCAAAAATTGTTTGTGGGTGAGAGAAAAATAAATAAAATGCATGTCATAAAGATAAATAATAGTATGACATTTTATGGAAAAAAAAAACATTTGTACACTCTCTCTCAAATGTATGTGTGTAACTTCATGAAAAAATTTCCTGTCAAATGCACTTATTTATCATATATTTTATTTTTATTTTTTTAGAAATTGATTTTTTTTATTTTTAATCATTTTTATTTCAATCTTTTGACTGTGTCAATAAATAAATAAATAAATTTTTGGTTGGAATAAATAAATTGATATCTAAAAATTAGCTTTCAATTTTATATTATGTTACTCATGTAATTTATAATGATAGCTGCATATCTTTTATGATTTAACTTATTAGTATATACGAGAAAATAAATAATAGGAATAAGCTATTTCATTTCAATAATTTTTGTAATCCTTGCATCGGGTCTAATCTAGTTATTGCATATAATAGGTAATAAGCGGTAGTAATTTATTCATAACTAGTTTTATCCCCGTGCAAATGCACGGATTTATAATAATAAGACTTGAAAATAAAAATAAATTAATTAATTAATAAAATTCAATTAAAATGGAGTTAGTTTAAATGAAATGGCTTATATGTAACATTTTTTATTTTTGAATTTGAATTCATATCATGTCTATCCTTAAAATTCTCATGTTAGATACATTATTTAAAATATTTTATAAATTATTGTAAGTTTTTTTTCATTAAATTTTTTTTATCATGTTATTTTTTAAGGGAAAAAAAGAAATTTAAAAAAAAAAGCTAAAAAAATATTCGGGCGGGAAAATTTTTGTTGTCAATGTGACATGTGTACTTAAGGGATAACTCTGGTGATTACTTTAGTATATAGTATAGATAAATTTCTATTGTAATTTGTCAAAAAAAAATTAGTTTCCCTTGGACCTCATCCAAATTGTAGTAAATTAAATTGAACTGAATTAAAATAGACTAAACTAAAGTAGGAAAAGAGGAAATACATTAATCTTTATGCTTGACAAAGTATGTAAATCATAACTTCAAAAGGGTAAAATTGACATTTCTATGAATTATTTGAGATAATTTTGTAATTTTAATGGATACCGCTAGGTTTAGCATTTCCTTCCTGTTTCCCACTGCTTTCTCATCCTTCTCTCCCTGCACTCCTCTAACTCAACAATATAATGGAGCTTCAACATTAAATTTTTCGACCTCACTTCTTCACCACCACAATCATTATCACAATTACTGTCACAATCACTATCATTTGCTATCTCCTCCCCAACGTCGCCGACATCACTTCTTTCATCATTTTCAAAAATCAAGCTCAATTGAGGGAGCTTTCAATGGAGGACATGGTCACCCCTACTCTTTGGGGTTGACCATGCCCTTAATTTCACCCTTCATTCATAGGTGTAGACACCCATTTGTGTCTCCCCAAAACCAAACCCAGTGATGAGTGTCTTTCACGTCGAATCATATCGAATGAAACGAAAGTGTGGAAAGGTCTAGCGTTGCGGAGAGTTTTATTTCTTTTCTCTTCTCCCTGTTTTTGAAAACTTTATTTTAAGAAAACAGTTAATCCAGGTTGGTTGGTCCATGATGTGGGTCCAATAGTGATGTAGTTGGATATGGCTTGCAAAGGCCTTTCCAACGATATATTATAAGCCCAATTCCGATGAATATTGAGGAAGTTATGGCCAATTTACTAAACTGGGTCCGGTTTGAGCTTTATGTACGGCCCAATGATCTAGGGGAGGGCCTAATATAATTTATCATTCCTAATGCAATTAGGAATGGTTTTAGTCTTCTAGAACATTCTAGAAGGTTCTTTTCATTCCTAATTCAATTAGGTTTCTTTAGAGTTTTAATCAAGATCAAATAGCATTTTCGATGGAATTATATTATTTTATCTTCCAGTACGGTAAGTTTATCAGATTTTCGAAAACGCATTGAAAACCACTTTGGCGTCCAACCCCGGGCCTTGGCGCCTGGAACCAGGATTGGCGCCAGGCGCTAGCCATTGGCGCCTGGCGCTAGCCACTGGTGCTGGCGCCAATGTTGATTTTCGATCTTCAGACTCTGTTTTGTTAAATTATCTTTTTGGATGATTTTCTCTATAAATATCGTATCAACTCTCTTCATTCGCCAACTATCTTCATCATTCATCAACAAGCATCAATCATTCATCAATTCTTTTAATTCATTCTCTTCATCACCAACTCTCATCAAGATTTTCTTGATTATTCTCTCTCTCTTTCCTTTCAAAACCTTGTTTTTAAATACAAAATTCCGCATTCGCAAGATCTAGAAACACCTAGCCATATTCGAAGTTGCCTTTGCCCTAGACGTGAAAGGTTTTAATTTCTGAGGGTTTGGTCCCAAATCTCTCTTTCAATTATTTAATTTAATTGCTTTGATTATTATTTTCCTTGAAGTTACTAACGTGTGTATTTTGTTATTAGAAAGAGGTACGAGACATCAAAGTAAGTACTTTAATGGTTTTAATTGATATTATGATGTAGAAATCATGTTTATATTGTTATTTTGATTCCTAGTATCATGTCTAGGGTAATTTTAATATTAAATATGATTCTTGTGATGCTTCCTATGTTCTTCCTAATATTTGTGATTGTTAGTATCATGTTAGGGCTAAAGATTTGATTTTTATTGCTTAGTGACATGCTAGGGTTTGTTATTAATCTTGTTAGTATCATGCCTAGGATCTTGCTATGCTTTAACATGATTATGATTATGATTGATTATTATTATTATTATTCATGATGTTGATTATTTATTTATGTTGCTTGATATGCATTATATTTTATATTGTTATTTCTTGATCACCTTTATTGCATGTTTAAAGGGAATTTGTACTTGTAATCATGCTTAATAAGATAATTAATAATCTTGTTAGGGTTAATTGTGATTATAATTCAACTGATCGCCAATCATAGATTTATTTGTGCATTAATATTCAACCAACATAGATAAACAGGTTTAGGGTTAATCCTAGTGAAACGCTAAACATCGCCCGCAATTTACCATATAAAGCCCACAAATATGATATGGTTTGACCATTATGCCCATTTTCTAAAATTGAAATAATCTCGCTGTAAAAAATGTGGAGCCGTACTGGCTCGTCGGGGGAGACCGGAGGGCAGGCCGGAGATGCGGGGGACGCCGGAGGTACGTCGTCGTCGACGGAAAACGAGGTAAGTCACCGTTAAAATTCACGGTTTACCGTCGGAGTGGCTCCGGCGCCTAGGATGGACGCCCAAACCGTAGCCTGGACGTCCAAGCCAGACGCCAGAACCACCAGAGTGGCGTCCAGCCCAGACGCCCAGACCAAATGGGATTCCGGGTCGTGGCTGATGTTTTTCAAATGGGCGAAGACAACTACGGTTTGGTGCGTCAGTTGATGTACAGCGAAATTGCATCTAACCGAAATGTTTATCGTCATGTGTACCAGGATGACATGGATGGCGCTCTGCGGCGTATCCGGTGGGGAGGTGGACCTTGCGGCCAAAATCATTATTTTGACGCGCCCCTAGATCTGTTTGCCGTTGCAAACATTTACAAATGTGCAGTCATGCATTTCGGCCTGGGAGTGCATAGTCAAGCTTATTATCCTTGTACCACGGTTCTCCCTTGGTGGTCGCGTGAGACTGTCACCACACCGGTCAGAGAGCTAGCTATTGCGTTTCTTGGGTCGTCATACAGACATTTCATCCGACTAGACATGTCATCCGATTTTCCAGTGCCACCGATTATACCTCGGTGGTACAACATTCGCACAGCGAGCGTAGAGGGTTGGGATGCGCTATATCATGACCGGATCCACGAATGGAACACCCTAGCTGCATTTTAGTTTTTCATGTTTACATTCTTTATTTGTAATCTTATTTGTACGTTGCTCTTTTAATGAGAACATTAATCTTTTACATTGTATTGCTTACTGCATTCTATATGTTGCATGGGTAAGTTGCGCGGATCCACGAACGGTTATATCAAAATTTAAAAACATCAATGATTAAGTTGGAAGCTAAAAGAACAATCTAAAATGTTACAAACTTACAACATAATGTCCAATTTAATAAATTAAAACGATGATATTTAAAGTGCTCTATAAATAAAATGACAAAACCATCAGTAATCCCTCCTCGACGACGACTCCCACTGCGCAAGGGTCTGTTCCAGACTATCAACAACAGCTCTCCCTGTTGCACTCATGTTGTCCTTCTCAAGAGAGAGTTTTTGTACGTCCTGCATTATCTTTCCCATCCACTGCATACAACAAAAAACAGAAGATGAAATACAATAACAACATATAAAACTTAATTAAAAGACAACGATAAATATAATATAAGACATACCGCTTCCATGGCAGTAGGCGGTGGCACATAATCATCATCGCTGTGGTCGAGATCTGCGATCAACCTCGGGTGCGAATACCGGTTGAACCATTCCATGTAGTAATGGTCACACATGAGAGTAACCCCAGAGGGCGGCCGCTGCAACTCCGCAGTCCATAAGCGGGCCACCATCGGAAACTGGTCCCACGTCCCGGTCATGATATCCAGCCATTGCACGACGTAGTCCCTCGAAGATGCAGGTCGGACCGCCTTCATCGGGCATGTCGGGGGAGGAGGGACAACTTGGACAAATCCAAGCTGGCGAAGACAACGCTGGGGCATGTACGCCTCAACGATCTCACGATACTGAATGAGTCCCGTGTACAGGGTCCTGGGTACCCTAACACTAGGGTTCGGGCCGAAAGGCATCCAGTTCACCTGCACATAGTTTTAAAATTTAATAACATGAATATAATATGTGCAAATAATAAAATGTAGAAACAATTTATAAACGTTACCTCTAAGGGGGACAACCTGTCCAGCAACAACCGTATCGATCGGAGGCGGTCAACGGACTTCTTCTCCGAGCGCGGACTCCACGCACAAGCACGCGGCATCCCCTCATCAATAGGAACTGGGTCACGATGTGGTCGCAATGCAGGAAAGTACTCGTATATCCAGGTCTGCAATAGAGTCAGACACCCAGTGATACCTGTCGCGTCAGCCCGACTCGCAAATCCTAGTTGGCGATACAAATACGCCAACGTAGCCGATCCCCAGGAAAACTGGCCTACACTGTCGGGGTCACACGCCTCCACTATGTCGCGTGGCCTGAGCTTGTTTCCGCCGCTCTTATCCGGAAACAAGGTACATCCGAGGAGTAGAAAAACATAAGCACTCAGCTGTGCGTCGTGCGTCCTACGTGCACTGGGGTACAAACACCGCTGCAACACGGATGCGATCTTCACACCTCCGTGTTCCCAAACACCTAGCGCCTCGGTGTACAGTGCAGCCTTGTCCACCGCCAACAACTCTGCCAGCAAATCTGCCTGATCCGCATCAGCCACAGCACAAAGTCGTTTACCCTCAACACGAATCCCCAGAATGGCCTCGACGTCATGTAACATGATCGTCATCTCACCGAACGGAAGGTGGAAAGAGTTTGTATCCGGCTGCCATCGCTCAATGAAAGCCGTGATCAGTGTACTGTCAATCTTATCGTGCATGGTGGAAGGAACGTGATTCACCCCAGTGCCCTCCAATCGCTCGAACATCTCGCTCTCCGCCGGCCAAGCCTCTGCCCATGTACGCAAAAAGCTACAAGTCTTTTCCCGGGTATGACATTTCAACAACCCCGTAACTGAAGGCCTCTCCTGGTCCTCCCAAATACGGGAAGCTATGTGTCCTAGAAAGCTAGGAATCACACTCCCGTCAACAGGCCCACCGGGCACCTTACTCCTAACAACCCAAGAATCATTACCGGCCCTCGACCGTTTCCTGCTTGCCCCAGATACAGTGGACGCAGATGATGTGCCAGATCTACTAACAAACCTACCACCCCTACCCTTACGCACCTCCACCATATGTGTCTCGTACATGTCATCAACCCTCTGACTGAATGGACCGTAATCATCATACGGTCCATTGCCATCGTCCACATCCTCATCCTCATCTGCGCCCTCCTCCTGCTCCTCCTCCTGGTCACCCTCCTCAGCATCATCATCGTCATCGTCATCCTCATCCCGACGGTGGATCCGTTCTCTACGAGCTGAGGCCGAAATACCACGGGATCTGACATGTCTATGCCCCGACCTCTCCACTGAATAGCTTCTACTAAGAAGCTCTACATTCTTCCCCGCACCATGACGACCCAGTGAATTCTACACAAAATTTTAAAATATATAAACATACAAAAATTTATACGAAAAATAGCTACCACTCCCAAATCAAATAAACTAAAAACATACAAATAATTGTAAACAAAATATAAACATAGAAAAAATACAACGAAATTGAAAAAATTTATAAAAATAAACAACAAAATATAAAAACAATTCAAAAATATATTACACAAAAAAAAAAAAAAAAATTAAAAATAATATTTTTAAACAAATATATAAAAAAAAGGGGGGGGGGGGGCGCCTTGGCTGGACGCCGCCACCAGTGGGCTGGCGCCTGGGCTGGACGCCACAGCCACGGCTGCGGCGCCTTGAATAAACGCCACAACCGTGGCTATTGCGTCCAGCCCAGGCGCCAGCCAACTGGTGGCGGCGTCTGCAGCTGGCGCCACCACCGCTTGCTGGGCGTCCAGCCAGGGCGCCCCACCGCCGTCACGGCGGTTTTTCCCTTTTTTTTTTTTTTTTTTTTTTTTTTACAAATTGTACCTTTCCTCCTTGGGACATCCTTCCCTCCGCCGCCGCCGCCTCGACATTGCCGTTGTTTGAAATTTTTTTTTTTTTAAGAGAGGTTGAAAGAAGATGAGCAATGAGAGTGTGAGTGTTTTTTTTTTAAGGTCAAGGGCAATTTTGTCAAACCAAGTGAATTTTGTGGGCTTTATGTAGTAATTTGTGGGCGATGTTTAACAAATCCCTAATCCTATTGATTGTATGTTAATCAGAAAGCGCACATGAATACGAGCAGAATAAAGTAGAGGCCTATTATTAGGGCAGGTTCAATCTCTTTTAGGTTGAATTTGTACCATCATCCCCGAACCCTTATTTGGTTCATGACCTTATGGAGTTGACGATCTCTTGGATCGTTAAGGGGTGTAACCTTCACCTCGTGATGGTTTACAAGTTCCTTAAAAACTTGTTGGCGACTCTTTTGCTCTATCTTCTTCCCTTTTGGACGCCACAATACTTTAGTGTATGATCACAGTGGGGTTCGAGCTAGTGGGATTTTTAAAGGCTTGAAACTATTCCCTACAATAGGGTTTTCGTTTAAGACTGGGAAAGGTGGGTGGAGATCTGGGAAGCTTCATTGGTGTTGGTGTCAAGGAAGCTTCTATGGTGTTTGAGGTCGGGGTAGCTTTAATGGAGGAAGAGCAAGAAGCTTTTTAATGCAGGGAGTTCAATGGAGGTGTAGTCAATGGAGTAATGGGTAAAAAATCGTTAAGTTGGCGTTATCTTTGCTCTTGATGTGGCAACAAGTGCTGCTCTGTATTGTTACAATAATGCCATTAGATTGACGAATTTCGTCAATCAAAAAGATTAATTGGAGCTGGTTCGTAGAAAAATGAGTTGAGATGAACTAAAGATAGGTCCAAAAAAACATGGCGTAAATAGCCAAACCATACACTTGCCCAGTTGCATAATACTCCACATGGAGTAATATTACAAAATAAGGGCATGTTCTCATTGACTGAACTCAGCTGAACTGAACTGAATTGAGCTGAACTAAAATGAAATGAATATTATATAAGAGAAGGAAATTAGGAGCTGAACTGAATTGAATTGAATTGAATTTCAACGTAAGAGAACATACCCTAAACTCATTTAAAATTTTGCATGATCATCAATCAATAACATAATACTCTATGTAAAATTTAAGATAACTACTCACAAGACTTTAGCTAGTCTCATACTCCGTATATTTCAAAGTAAAGAATAGTAGATTTTATTTGTCAACAAAAAAAAAAAAAAAAAAAAAAAAAAAAAAAAAAAAAAAAGAATAGTAGATTTTAACTCTGAACTTGTGGAAAATTTCTTAAAATGAAGGTGGATGAGATATAACCCGCAACCTTGTTACCACGCTATGTCTAACACTCCACGTCATATTTGAGAATTAACTCAATCAAAAACTTAAAGGAGTATGACACGTGCCTAAACTTAAGTGTGAAATGATGTCAATGTTGGTTTGTTTTAGTAGTAGTTAATTGATGTCATTGTTCATCATTGAATTGGAAAATATATTGTAATAATTATCACCCAAAGTCAAAAAACAGACGTGCCAAACTAATCTTAATATCAGAATCACCCACATTGAAAACCCAAAAAAAAAAAAAAAAAAAAAAAAAAAAAAAAAAAAAAAAAAACTGAAGCCATAAAAGAAAAGATAAAGACTTACCACGGATGGCAAATGAGAAAGCCAACAGAAAAAATAAAATAAAAATTAAAAAGTAAAATAAAATCTAAGAAAAGATGGCCATTTGCACAATAGATAGGTAGAAAAACAAAACCATTTACATCACATTAAGAGGCATTTCCAGTCATGATTAACTTGCCATTAGATGTTGCATGTAAGGTAGGAACTAGAAGCAGTATACAAAGAGATACTAGTCATCTCACTCGGCAAGGTGCAAGACCACTGGGAGAACAGTTAGGGTTGGGGGAACGACAACTAGCTGCAGCACTAACATTGCTGGGAAATCTTTGCCGTATTGGGAACTCTGGCACTCCCCTCACAGGAAACTGACCAGCACGCTTACTTCTGAAGGCTGAAACCGGTAATGATGAGGATGCAGATGATATTTCACCCACAGCATCACCACTACATTGCAAAGGTTCCAGAGTTTCAACCACATCACTCATTAAGGGTCTTGCCTTTGGGTTTTGGCTCAGACAATAGTATGCCAAACTGCAGGCTTTCTGTGCCGCTCTTATAGAGTACTGATTTTCCAATCTCGGGTCAATTATTTGCAGAAGCTTTCGCTTGTCATTGAGCTTTGGTCGTGCCCAATCCACCAAGTTCTGCTCTTTACTTGGTCTGGTCTTGTCAACCGACCTTCTCCCTGTCAATAGCTCCAAGAGTACAACTCCAAAGCTGTAAACATCACTTCTAGCTGTGAGATGACCTGCTCACATAGACTCTGATCAGAACCATTGTTTACATACAATCGTACAAATTCCAATAAAATGTGTTATGAAATGCATATTTGGGGTACGGGGCTTCATATGATGTGCAAATGATGTAATGAAAACTGAATAGAGTAAAACTAGCTAGAAATTAGAATCTGCTAAAGTAATTAGAAAAGGACAATGAAAAATAACACTCTCTTGCCAGGAGTAGGTAAACCCAGTTTCTTTCTATCACTAGCAATCCAGCAAAAAGACTAGATTTCAGGTCCACAGAACATATAAACAAATCCATAAGGTGAAAAAAACCTACTTAGATAGAGTATAACCAGAGCTAGTCAAGTACATACACTCGTGTACTTGGAAGCACACATGTTTTAACACACCTGCTTCCCAAGTTCAGGCCAACTCCTGGTTGATAATCGCAATCGCATAGTTCAAGTTTATCAGCGATATATTCGGCATAATTTTTATCCCGGCCAAATGAAGTAATGAGCAAGGAAAATACAGGCCAAGAAGGAAAGTTGACAAAACACAGAACATAAACCCAAAACTTCCAATGAATTTCCTTTACATGCACTAGTGAGTAAGATGTAAGTCATGTGACGCATTGTGGTTTTCATTCTTTTGATCCCTGAGGGAGGGCAAAGAGAGGGAAATTTTCACTTAGCTTGATCCTTTTATTGGAGAAGGGAAAAGTTGATCCTAATTGTCCAAGTAAATTAGAACCCTTGGTGTGGAAAAAGAGGGGGGGGCGGGGGAACAGGAGGGTAAAAAATATCTTCCTTGGTTTGCACTCTGCAGGAGAGGAGTAGTGTGGGGGAGGGGAGACCAGGTAGCAATACAAAGGGGAATGGGAGTTAAAAGGGTTCCGAGGAAAGATGGGGGATTATTTTTTAAGTTCACAATTACCTCATTAGTGGAAAAAAAAAAAAAAAAAAGAAGGTAGGGGTAACCTTAGCAAAAAGTTTATCTAACGGATGGAAATTATGTTTCAGTGTTTACATGGAGACAGAATGAAAGATTAGGAGGGCAGTTTCAGTTATAAAATTTAGCTATTGATAGTTAATGATCCCATTAGTTTAGTAAAATAAAAATTGCTAAGGATGTTATATACACAAATGACAGGACAAGGTATTACCATAACATACTAATTTTGACACCAATATAATTGCAGTTATAAAATTTAGCTGATACAAATAGATGAATAGTGCGAACTCCGCAGTTGTGAATTACTACAGCATAAATCATGAATATAATTATCATTCTCAAATTTCCATTTATATGACAATAACTTGAACCAACAGTAAACTCAATTCATATAGACAGCAGTAATTACTGTAATTAAAACAGACACAATTTTTCTGATTTGTGATGAGACAAGTGCCAAGTGATGAGTGTACGAACTAACATATATACACTTGTATTTCTGCTGGAAATTGCAGCACATCAACAACACGTCACAATGACCATTATCAGATACTGCAAGAAGACAATGAAAATCATAGAACCATACAGAATAAACAATCAGCCCATGTAAGCTATTTCTTGTTGAAAGAAAATATTGTGATTGGAGACATTAGTAGCAATTGTCCCAAGATGTAAGAAGATGATAATACAAGAAACCTCAGGCAAAAGAAGGAAGGACAGAAGTTTAATTTGATCGAATGTTTGAGCTCTGTTACATACCAGTCATCACATATTCAGGGGCAGCATATCCATAGGTTCCCATCACACGAGTAGATACATGGGTCTCATCACCTTGTGGTCCAGCTTTTGCAAGCCCAAAGTCAGAAAGCTTTGCCGTGTAATCCTAGCGAGGGCAGCAAGCACAGACAATATGAATATATATGAGAATGAGGTATTAGCACATCAATATCATCCCTAAATCTAGATAGAGATCAGGAACATATTTATGGTATTTATTGACACATCAAACCAATAGTTGTATACTTGTATATATTAGCACATCAATATATATCTCCTTTCAATCCGTATTTCCTTCGAACATGAACTAAAAAAAGTCAGCAGACCCTGCCCCAGTCTAGTAGGTGTCACACTGTACACAGCAGCCTCCTTCATCAGGCAGGTCAACAGCATCTCGAGCCCCACTTAAGGGTCTCATGGCCGTCACCCTCCCCTATTGGCTTTCTCCACACACTCACAACTCTCTACTCAAAGAGAAGGAAAAGAAACTTAGTGCCATCAATCATTTGCCAGCAGTGCTCAGAGCCACTAACCACCTCAATGGTGGATTGACCCTCCCCCTTATCCTTTCCTTTCCTTTCCTTCCCTCCCCCATTGTTTTTTCCATCCATCCTGCTTTCATTCAGCACCATGATACACAGGGGCTGCAACCCATAAACCCAATAACAAGGCAAAGTGAAGGCTCCCTACTGCCACTTATTTTTATTAAGTTGGACTTAATATGTCTACACTCTGCTAAGGTTGTGTCTTAATTTTTTGGCCTTGATGATTCTTCTAGAATTGTTACCGTACTTTTACACTGACATTTAAGAATAGAGATTATCATATGGCACCTAGTTAGCTTTGTGTTTTTTAATATCAAAGTCTCATATTTTAAAATATACTCAATAATACAAAATATATCTTCTACTTATTAACTATCAAAGTAGTGACTGAAAGACAATTGGCAGCATTCAGTTAAAAAGATTCCCTACAGATCTACAAGCTGTTAAGAAAGCCTAAAAATATTAATAATCTATAATAATTCCATATAAAATTTAACTTCTAGAATTTTAAGTTAGCCTTCTTTTTTTTTTTTTTTTTTTTTTTTTTTTTTGCTGTTCTTAATGCATATAACTAACTTAACATACCTAAAGCTATAAGTTTGGATTGTTATAATTCTAACAAGAATAATAAGTTTCTGAACAATGAAGAGAATAGAATAAAAGTCAACCTTTCTAATTAGGGAAGAAAGAGGGCTTTGGTAAAAACGTAATTCTTGACATCGCCACATGTAAGAAGATAATTAACCATGAGATTCGGGAGCAAGAATTAAAAAGGGACATGAGTTAGTGAATTCTATAGGTACAAGTTATATAGACATATTGGATTATTATCAGCTATCATAATTTTGGTTTTAGATAATCTATTTAGATTTGATAATTGTTAAAGTTCTGCATTGACACATGTGAAAGTCAAATATAGAACAATTGCGAAAGAAAATGGAGGGAGTATAAAAATAGTAAAGTTAAGAAAACGTACAGAGTCTAGAAGTATATTAGATGTCTTGAAATCACGGTAAATAACAGGCCTTTCAGCATTGTGAAGGAAGGCAAGTCCTTTAGCTGCTCCAAGGGCAATCATCATCCTTGTAGACCACGATAAGGGAGCAACTGCCTCTGTATGCCTCAGGAAAAGCCATAACAACTTAAGCTAAAAATGTCCAGTAACTATGTATACATAAATAAATAATGTAATTAAAAGGGACGAAGAGCATGATTAAAATAATATTGAGCAATGACACTGCAACAAGTTCAAAGAGATCCAATTGCATGCAATCCTAAATGAGTTTGACTATTGTACCCCCATCATTATCATTTTGACAAATCCCCTTGTAACCTCAATGTGGATATCGGAATGAAGATGGTAACCTAACTTGTAGAGTCGGCCTTCACAATGGGAAATCCTGAAGGTGACCTCAGTGAAGGACATAGGATGGTTTGGTTGACTTTAAACTTATTAAGCTCAGGGTAATATTGCTGAAAATCTAAAAGGGTAGTCAATTATAATGTATAAGTTTTAGTATGTCACTTGAGTGCAAGTTTGTTATTTGAATGAGATATTGTTCTGTCATCCTCTTAAGTTGTCGGAATAATTTATAATCATCAAAAATAGAAACTAAAATCCTAGCTTGAAGATCAAGAAGAAAGAGAGTTGATAACAAAATTATAAGTAATAAAAAAAAAGGAGGAAATTACATACTTCGAAACAAGTGATTTTCAAGGCTTCCTCGAAACATGAATTCGTAGACGAGTAAGCGATGGTCATCCTCGCAGCAATAACCAATCAACTTAACAAGATTAGGATGACGGAGCTGGCCAAGAAAATTGACTTCAGTCTGCGAATAAAGTGAGGGTGTGAGCTCATTGGAAAATAACAACTTGAAAAAGGAAAAAACAAAAACAAAAAAAAAAAAGGGGTGGAAGAAGACATACTAGCCATTCCCGGTGGCCCTGAAGACCTTCTTTGTTGAGAACTTTGACGGCAACAGGGAGAGATTTAAGGCCAACACGGACATTCTCATCAATGTAACCCTTGTAAACAGTTCCGAAGCCGCCTTCTCCCAAGATGTAGTCTGAACGGAAGCTCTTAGTAATGGTCTCCAACTCATAGAGTGTAAAAGCGATAACATCTGTGTAAAGTCCGACATTCTTTCTAGAGTCTTCTTCAATGCCCAATAATCGAGGGGTAGATGAAGGATCACTCAGATCTGACACAGACCTATGCTGCTTCTTGGATCCTGCTGCTACTGCCGCTGCTTGCAATGAGGTTAGCATGTGAAGCTGATCAACTACATAATATGATACACCCCAAAACACTTAGATCTATATGTATGTATAGCTTTACAATCAAAATCAAAATTTTACTAATAATGTTTGTCTGTCTGTGTGTACCTTGAGCATGAGCCACCACGGCAGATTCTTCTCTAGTGCCGCAATTGCCCATCTTTCGAACCCAGTTTCAGCTCAGCTCGATTCGACTCGACTCCTGCACCGCTCAAGTAAATAACCAACCCCGGCCTGGAAGTGGAGTGGCCGTGCAGCAGATGCTCACTGTCCACTCTCCTGCCGTGACAAATTAAAGCTTCCTTACCAATTCAATTCAATTGCAATTGCTGCTTCTGCTGCTAGTCCTGCAGTCTGCTACTACGGAGTATCTCTCATTCTTCCGGCTAATCCTCTCTTCACCTTTTTCGACAATAAAAATAAAGTAAACACTACTTTTACTACTCCCAAAGTGCAAGTACTGAAGTAAATTTTTAACTAGTGTTTTTACATGAATTGCCTACCTTCCCTCCCCTGCTTTTGCATTGTCTTTTCCGCCTCCAATGTCCTATCCTCACTAGTCACTATTTGGGAGATTGCAAGATTTGCAACTTCCACTCTTCTTCCTCTTTTCTTTCTTTCTTGCTTTTTTATTTTTTTTTATTTTTTCTCTTATTATTATTATCTTTAGTTGCTCTCTTTCATAACACTTCTGGTTCATCACTTCTCTATTCTTCTTTTAAAAGATTGTTTCCTTATCGCTCCTTAAAAAAAGAAAAAAATGTTTCCTTATCAGACATTTTTCAGGTTATATCCTCTCTATTTCACATAAATAAATGCAACAATTTGATTAATTCATATATCAATGCACAACTTTAATCATTAATAATTGTAATCTAATTTGATATTATATCATATTATCACTACTCCCTCCATTTCATAATTAGAACCTTATTTTCCATTTTTCACGGTTATTGGATTCAATCATAACCGCTCCAAATTGTTTATGAATATAGGTGAAGAAACTATATGGAAGACATCAGCAAATCAATAAAAAAACAAGCATTTCATTTTCATTAAGCTTTCCTCTTAGTTTTCCCTTGGCTTAGTAGCCAATTCAAGCGATAGTCTACATGTATTACTGAAGATCTATCGTCTTTTTCAATTGTATAAACGTGGAGATAACCTTTCCTTCGAGGATTTAACTTTTACAAGTGTGGACCTGACTTTATCATTTAATTAATATAGCGCATTTGCATTGTTTATCATATGTTTATCTACTTGTTTCTTTATTAAGCAATCTAACTAGTTTAATTTATTTTGGAAACTTCTTTATTGTTTGATTTTGTTATATTAGCGAGACTTTCAATCTTTAAACAAGTAACTGGGGTAGCCCCCTAATACAATAAAACAAGATAGGGAATTTGAATAGTTAGTAAAGAACAATATTTGCCTTAACACTTACCGATTCTGCTAGTTTTTTAAAAAGATATTTCATATTCTTAATTGTTGTGTTCAAAACTCACTACTGACACTAGTAGGATAGCTTGTAGAATAAGACAGGTAATTAGTAGTGTGTGGAATAAGTCATGCAAGGTAATGTGTAGATAAGCCAAGTGTTGACTTAGTTGCTTTTGTGGTAATGTGCTTTGTACACTTCGTAGTTGGCTTGTAGAATTGTAACACCCCCGATTTACTAACTATTAATAAACAATAAATAAAGAAAAATAAACAACCTTTAAATAATATTGCGGAAGCATACACCTAAATCGAAGGTATTACCGCCACACTCGACAACTTGTCAAGTGTTAAGGCTTACAAAATCCCCAATAATTACAACCCAAAAAATCTAGGTGAGCTATTTACAACTTTACAAACTCGTTATAGCATACTAATCGATCACTTGAGCTCCTTTAGCTACGATCACTTGATTAACCTGCTTAAACAATCTTGACTGCTCACCATTAAGGACAAATTCCAAAATACATCGTCGCAGGGCCACCATAAGAAAAAGACATGGCCGCAAACACCAGTAGCAAAACAAAACAACACACACAAGTCAGCGAAACCTGAGTAATCACCACATATCATAATATAGAGTATAATATAATAATTAACATTACTAGATCAATTAAATAATATAGTTTGAAACTACATTACACATTGTACTCTGAAAATAACCTTTAACAACTCAACCTCGAATAATAGTACGAACCTTTACTCAACTCTTAACCAATAGTGTGTCATGCTCTTTGTTCTATACTTAGCCTTGGACATGGGTAATTCGAATAAAACCAACAAGTATAAAAACTTGAATACTCCCAATAACCGAAAAAACACCTTGAACTAGACCATACACGGGCCAATTCCCAATGTAGGGGACCATAGAAAAACAAATAATAAAGATTGTACCTCATTCTTAACTCATTATCATTATCTCATTACCAACAAGCCAAGGACTAAGGTTTATAACGTCGAGCCTCAAACCAATAACAAAATAATAATCTCAACCTTTTGATCTCATACATTGATCAAATAACCATTCACAATTAATTTATAATATCTCAACAATGGCACAGATTCCCAAATAACATAATAATTCAAACTCGATTCAATCGTAGTATATCTCAACTCTTAAGGGCAATCATACTAGTTACCCAAATGTAATCAATTCTCAACCCAAAAATAATACTCTGCATTAACAACCCTAAACCTTGATAAAACAATACTCTCTATAACAACAACATTAAAAACCCTAGAAATAATTGCACAGTCAATTATATAACAAAAAATAAATACGATAATCAAATCAAATCATACAATATCATACTAATTAATCATATATACAAAGAGTACAAATAATAAATCATATCACACATAATAATACGAAATATAATACAAACATCTCCAAAATTTTGTGTGATTACCGTCACAGACATACAATCTGAACTTATAAAATACTCGTCTTGCTTGATGAGGAGAACATCACACTTTCTTTCACATTGTATAATGAAAATCTCATGAATATGAGATGTTTATTTATGCGCACCAAAACAAGGGTTGACTTTGATTTGGAAAATCCAATTGATGATTGAATTGTATCATCATGGTTAGCGGCCAAAGTAGTAAACACACGAGGTTTTTTTTTTTTTTTTTTTTTTTTTTTTTTTTTTTTTTTTGCAGAGTACAAAGTTGGAGTAAGCGGAGGCAATGCTTAATATTATTAGGGTTTAAAATAGTTTATATACGTTTAAAATTGTAGAGTCCTATTTAAATTAAAATAGGGTTTTAAACCTTTCCGAACTCTAAAATAAAAATATGAGATTAGAAAAGTTTTTTTAATAAATAAAAATAACTATTTTTAAAAATATATATATATATATATATATATATAATCATAAAATATTCGGGTATTACAAGAATAAGCCAAACTTGGTAGTGTGTTATATAAGTTATAACATACTGCTTGTATAAATAGCACAAGTAGAAGTGAGAAGAAATACTACTTACTCTAAGGTTTTGAGAGAAAATATAAGAGAGTGAATAGTAGTTAGTAGCTTGTGAGTGCAAATACTAGAGAGCTTGTGAGTGCAAATACTAGAGAGCTTGTGAGCTCACTAAGAGTGTTTGTAATTATGGTTTTGTAGCTCAAATTCAATAGTGAGATTGTCTTTGAGAAGTGTAACACAGTTACCCATAAAAAAAACTAACAAATTGGTGTTAGAGCAGAGGTTGTTTCCGGGGCGATTTAAAGGCCAAAGACACATTCTTTGAGGTAGAGAAGGTGTAGGAGTTGTGGTAAACTTAGGTATTGAAAAATGGGTGATTTGCCAAAGTTTTCAATTCCTTTGCATTGTTTGATGGAAATATGAACTTTCAAGTGTGGAAAAGTTCGGTTGAAGACTGGTTGGTGCAACAAGGTCTTGATGATGCTCTTGAAGAAGAGAAGCCCACTAAGACAGAGGGTGGTAAGTGGGAATCAGAGAAGAAGAAGGCGGTGAGTACAATCCGACTTGCGATTGCATCGGAAATCAAGTACAACTACCTTTACGAGACGAATCCTAAGGCGTTGTTGGAGAAGCTACAAGTGGTGTATGCTTCGAAGTCTTTGACAAACAAGCTTTGTCTAAGGTGGGAGTTTTATCAATTCATGAAGGAGGAGGATACATGTATGCAAGATCACATTAATATATTAAATCAATTAGTGTGTCAATTGTTGAACGCCAATGAGAAGATTTCGGATCAAGATCAAGCTTTGTTGTTGTTAGCATCTCTTCCTAAAGGTTATAGAATAATTGTTAAAACTATGCTAGTTGGAAGAAGTGAGATTACTCTTGATCAAGCTTTGGCGGTATTAAGAGAAAATGAGAGGTTGATGTCCAAAATTGATGGAGAAAAGAAGTCATCGGAGTTTGGGCTAGTTCCTGAAGGTTCTTATCGGGGAAGAGCTCAGAAGAGGAACAAGGATGGCCAACGAGGAAGCTCAAAGTCTCAACCAAGGAAAGATTATAGTGGCTTGTAGTGTTACTATTGTCACAAAAAGGGCCACATTCAATATTCTTGCAAGGCATGAAGGAAGACCTCAAGAAATTGAAATCCTTGAAGATGAAAGTGAAGGAGACCGAGAGGGGAAGGGGATGCATCTTTTGCTCATAGCGATGAGGAAGATGATGATCAAATCTTCTTGCTAGAAGAAGAGGGTGTAATCCCCTGTATTTTTAAATATTTTATAAATGAAAATTTATTTTATTTATAATATTTATTTGTTATTTTTCATAATTTAATTTCAAAAGTTTCAAATTATTAATCTGGGTCGAAAATTATTTGAACAAATTATTTTATGCACCTTTATTCTACAATTTATGTCCAATCACTCAAGCCTAACCCATTTGTTTACTTAATCGACCCATTATTTTTATGAGGCCCAATCTTCCTATTTACCCTACAATTCTCTCCTATAAATACCCCATGAATCTCCAAAAATTTCCCACACAAAAAGGTTAGTCTTATTTTCTCCTTTGTTTTATTAATTTGTATAATTATAATTATTGATTTATGAGTTTTGATTTTATTGTTTGAAATTAATTTAATTAGTATCAAATTGTATTTTGATGATTAAATTTGATAATTTCAGATTTTATAAATGTCATAATTTTTAGATTTTGTAAATTTTATAACCTAGGGTTTTCAATTATTGTAAATCATGATTTTAGGGTTTTTATGAACAATTGATTTAAGGCTTTTATAGTAATGGTGTTTTAAAATTTTGTTGATTATAACTAATGATTAGTTTAACTTAATTCCAGATTATTTTGAACACTTAAATTCGGGTTTTAATTTTTAGATTTCCGTTCGTTCATATTAATCCCGTTTTAATCCCGATCAGGTTTTGAACTCATCTGATTTTGATGAAAAAGTAGTGTTAATCCCTCTCGTGGCCAAATTTAGCCTGTAAATATGATTTTCGGGCAGTTTTTGATTTTAACGAAGTTTTTTTATACTTAAAATATTATCCTTGAGTTTGATTGATAAAATTAATTATGTTTAAAGTTAATTAAGCATAAATATATGTTTTTATTGAAGTTTTAAGTGCTGGAAATAGTTTCTAAGTACTACTTTTGATGTTTTATAAAGAGGGTTTAATCACCCATTAAAGGGAGATTATTAGGGGTTTTTAAATAATTTTAAGATTTTTATTAAACTTTAAACTTGCTGTAATTTCATGTATAAGAGTGTATTTTAAGGTTTTTATGAAGAAAATTTAATGAACTATATAAGACTTT